GAGATTTCATAACTGAGTCTTTTGTCTCGTTCACCTCTCAAAGACTTCTGTGGAGCTAGTCAAAATTCAACTCTGGAAACGTGTTCTATAATTCTTCTATATCTCAAACTTCAAAAATTGAGACTGAGGTATAATTCATAATTTTTTACCTCAATTCCATTTAAAATATTAGTATGTTTCTTCTCTTCTCACTGGTTTTAGAGATTTCCTGTGGGGTTTTTTTAGAAGCTTGAATATCCTGATGAGCTTAAAGACAGACTGAGGTTCATAGACAGACTGCTGTACGCTTTCTCTCTTTTTGCATAACCTCTTGTAATACAATCAACAATTTAAATACCTTTATAAGATAAAAAAATATGTCTAAGTACTCATAAATCTAGAGGCACTGGACTGTGTTGAAGATCCTCAGAAAAGACAATACTACTAATCTCAGGCCAAATTTTCCTTGCCTCCCAATGGACAACATTTTTGCAGGAGAAATGACTCAAGGGGTATTGTCAGCTCTTCTTATGTTTGTTGCTGGCTTTTCACTATGGAAGAGGACTTCTTTATAGGACAGCAAGGATTATCATCCTTCCGGCATTTTTCCCATGCCCAACTTTTCATTCTGGAACTCTTGCCTCTTAAGCAAGAATAAGCAACGCTTGCATAATCTTTTCAGTGAAAGCTAAAGAATACTTCTTTGTTACGAAGCAGTTCTGCTTGCTTTTACTTTGGCAGAGGATCTACTCTTAAAGGCCATCAAAACAGTTAGAACGAAACAGATTGGTCTGTGCATGTCATGCTGTTGGTTCAAAAATAGGTACATATAAAAGATTTTCAATAAAAACTAATGCAGACACAGAGAATGTAAATTAGTCTAATTATTGCTCTACACGTCATTTTTGCTTTGTGACATGCATTCTTACCTTACACATGGAACTAGTTACAATTCATCTTTTAAAGTGGAAAAATAGGTAGTATGATTGATTTCATTTGTGTATCAGGTTTCTACATATTTTTGATGAATAGAGCAAAAACATGACTGAATTTTAAAAGTAATTAGCTTTTGTTCTCTTTGTATCACTTTGATATTAATTTTCAATATGCCTTCAAGCAGGTGGAAAGCATGGAAATGTTCCAGTGAATGTTAATGCTTGTATACTTACGCAGTTGTACTTTGTTTCTTTCTTCCAGTGCTGTAGCCCATGAAAGTAAGCAAGGCAACTTCAGGAGTTAACATGTGTAGACAATGCTTTAAAATTAATTTCTGCAGTGTTAGGCGAGCAGTAATCTATCTTCTTGGGTTAGTGACTTTTCTTCCCCTTCAAAGTTCAACTATGTGTCTTGGCTAATGCATACATCAATGGCATTTACAGCAGCTGCTGAGAAATCACTGAAGGTAAAAATACTGTGTGACTGTGGATAGTGTCAATAATATGTACCAGAGTGATGAAATTCCACTGCCCCACCATTTACTGCTCCATCAAGCAGTATCTGTGATCTGACAATTATAGAGATGATGCGCCCGTACAAGATCAACTGAAATGACTCCTGGATCTTCCAAGCTGTGTTTGTAGTCCTGTTCACATTCTCACCACTACAATCCACTACTGATTTGAGAAAAACGATGCACTTCTGGAAAACCACAGCCACACACATTTTCTTTGATGTTTTGCCCATTACTTCAGGTTGTAAACCCAAGAGAAAATGCAACAGCAATGCACTATATATCTTTGTTTAGGCTTCCAGTTGCACTAAGAACTCTAAAAGTACTATCCCCAAGACAGAGGCACTAGTAAGTATCAGAAGTGGTAAGTATCCCAACTCAGTGGAACAGAACCTTCAAGACTTGGATCGTACTCGCAGTTTTGCTTGTAGCAGCTTTGAGATCTCCTGAGGAAAACTACTACATGTTCTGGTATTTACAAATATATAATCGAGAGACCTGACGGATCTGTCATTGAAGAAAAATTGTGTATCTATAACATCATTACTAAGAAGTAATAGTTTCCTGCTAATGTTTGCTGCTCAGCAAAGCTCTGTAACTACCTTTTTCTTTTTTTTTTTCTTTCTTTTTAAAATACTGTTAAACCCATTATTTCTGCACTGATATTTTCTATGCAGGATGTACTAAGCTTCTGCTTCTCATCTTAAAGCAGCACTAGGAACACTAGAGTACAATGCCTTTTCATCCCTTTTTCTTGGTTATGTTTCTTGATTCAGTGCCAACTGATGCTCTGCTCACTGTTGGCAAGAATATCTCCCACTAGTCTGTACTACCTTTGAAGTTAGGCAGTATGTACCTAAAATACGGTAAAAAGCAAAGGCAATACATCTTTTGTCATGAGTGCCAAGGCCGTTATCTCCAAGTCAAGCAATATGGACTAGCTTGTACGCCTACTCCCATACTGTCTGTAGGGTGTGTGGTGAGCCACTATCTTTCCTCCACCTGGTTTTTTCTAACCTGTATCTGGATTACTCTATTCACCATGGAACCCACTGGAGCCAGCCACAGCCACTGCAGACATGAACTACTATGTACCTACCGTAGGTGGCTCGAAGACTACAATCCTAACACAAAACAGAGAACAAGCTAATGTGACATCCCTGACATACCCAGGCTAACGTAACATCTCAGTGAGTTCATGTCATTTAAGCAGCCATAGAAGCTGGACAAAGACTTGAACCCACCTCTTCCAATTAACGTCGCATACGTATAATTCAGCTATTCAGGATAGGATTTTTCAGCTAACTTTCACCATCTAGCTTATTGCTGAGAATTCCTTTTTGGAAAATACTGAGAAACATCTCTTTTTCACTTATGTAAAGCATTATCAGAAAACATGTTTTAGTAGCAAAGAAAATTCAGTTTACTGTTCTCATCCCCGGTATACAATGATCCTTAATTTTGTGCTGTTCCAGGAATTAGGGCTCTACTACTGAAGATTTAGGCCCAGTATACATTCCATCAATGGAAACAAACTTGCAAATAATGCCACTTCTTGAAGAGACACAGACTAACTGTGAAAAAAAACCCCAAATGTTTCTTTTAATTCACGACAGTGACAGAGAAAAAGCCAGTCCATTTTAGCTTGCTGCTAGAAAAATACTCAAGTTGTGTCCAGCTGTTCAAAGAATTTGAGTCCTAATTTCAGGTCATATAAAAGTCACACATCCACTCCAATCCAGTCACTATTCAGAAATACTCTGGGCGAAATTTTAGTCTCCTTAGTGCTAGAGACTGCTTTCACATTGCCTTCAGCAAAGAGAGTTTCATTCTTGAAACTTTAGTTTCAGGTCTCCTAGAAACAAATTCTCACAGCTGTTATTTCTTGAAAAATAACTGGGCAAGTTTAAGTGATTTTTAGCAAATAGTAGATAGAACCATCAGGCTAAGAAGTTGCATTACACACAATGCACCAACTTGTTTGTGATAGAAACTGCCGAGAAGGAATTTCCAGAGATCATTATAGCCTTGTCTGTACAGAGCCAAAGCTAACTTAACAAAAGGTGAAGGATATACCCTCACAGAGCCTCCACCTGATTTTTACAAAAATAAGTTATAAATGCTCAGGTAATCACCAGAAACACTAGTTGTGTAAAAATGTAATTGGGAAGATGTATATATGTGTTAGGAGCACAAAAACTACACACTGATGCACGCACATACAAACGTTTTTTGTTTTAAAAGAAAGCCTAAAAATTTCTAAAGAGAAGCTACTCAACAGAACTGACCTACTGTTAGTTCACATTCAATCCCCAGTATAGCCATGATCTGAAAGGTTTATGCTCACAAAACCAGAAACACGTACTTGTATGCTTCTAAACACTTCTAAACACTCTTAGCACAAACCCAATCTCATTTTTACTAGCTTACACACCTGATGTTAGTTTTGGTTTAGCCAACAGGAATGCAATCAGCAGCAGGTCTTATTACTGGACCTATCATCAAAATCAGAAAATAATGCTTTTCTACACTTAAAACAAGTATGGTTCCCCTTTAGTTCGTTACCAGTTAAGTATGCATTGCAGGAATCAGTGAAAACCATAATCTAGCAGTTACTGCTCTAACTATACAGTACATTAAAAACATTCGTGAGAACTTGTTTCATTTCACTTTCATGGCAGGCTATGTTTGAAATGTAAACGTAATATTTATAACTATTTTAAAGTACATTTTGTTTAAACCTAACACTACCATCATCCATTGAAAAACATGAAAACAACAGGTTTTTTGTATTTGTAGTGCTTCAGATCCACTTCCATCTTGCAGTGAGAGACACACAGAGCACACAGACAAGGCACAACAGTCACAGTGTTTTCCCCAGCAGCCTTAGTGTCTCAGTCATTTGCTGGGTGGATTTCACCATGTTAGCTGGTGTCTCAAGGGCAGCCTGAGACTCACACATTGGAAGTCTCATGCATTTTTAAAACTGAAATACACAGAGGTAGAAGGTGAGGACTGACAGGCTTCCAAGGCATTACTGTAATGCAAATACAAATAGTAATTGTTTTCAAAAGCAGGCATGGATTTACCACAGCAGCCAACAGGGTTGTATCCCATTCCCCATCTGCAAGCTTGAAAAATCATGTGAAATACTTACTAAAAAAATGACACTGCACCTTCCCATGTCCCTATTCACTGCGTGACTACCTAAAGTATAGCACAGATATTAAATAGCCTCGTTTATAATCGTTAGCTCCTGTCTTACAGCTTAGATGAATGACATCAGTTCCCTTCTCTGAACATGCCTTGCTTTTTACTTTACAGTGAAATATTTTTTAGGTAATTCCTTGCAGCCACTTTTGCTTTGCGTATTTGTAACATGACCCTTATATTTATACATAGATAATAAAATGTAAGGATAATGAATAAACAAAACCACTTATACTTGTGAGTTAGGCTGCACATACCACATTTTTAGAGCAGCCTTTTAATAAAGCCTAGGGAAAACACATTTACATGAGTGAAAACCTATTTAAAACAAAACAGAAATCTAAAAAGTAGAAATTCTTACCCTAAAAAACTCTTTAGTGGAGCCAGAATCTAATGTCCCATAAGCAATTTCTGTTTGCTTGGAAAGATCCTCTGCACTTTCAATGGGAGACACCATCCTCTCAACCGTCAGGAAGGCAGCTAAGTTAGCCGTGTAGGATGAGATTATGATGAGGGTAAAGAACCACCACACACCTCCAACAATGCGCCCAGACAGGGATCTAATAACAAGTATGAAATGGATTTGTAAAGTGAAATGAAAGTCCTAAAAAGGAACACATGTTATCAGTTTTATGCAAATGATGCATTATACTACAGGGAAGCATTTCAGGCTATCTCGTAGTGCAGCTCTGCATGCTAATCAGATGGGAATCGGAATCAATGCATACTCCACTACATCTCCTGGACTTTGCTGAAATCAGGACTCCAGAGTTTACTTCAGGGAGAATTTAGTGATCCATTTCTTCAAAGTTCTGAACATCCTGAAAGGAAACTGCTCGCATCATAATGTGCTATATTTAACACATAAGCTTGTCATTCCCTCTGAAGTGAATTTCTGTGACATTATGAAGGGGATCAAACAAAATCAGTGAAACAATGCTTTCAGATAAACCAGTATGCACTTAAAAATTAAGTGCCTTTAGCTTGCTTATTTTCCTAAGACATTGAGACAAAACTGATTTCCACAAAACAATGGCTTATGCTGCTGTGGACAATCTATACTGAGAAACAAATAGCATTATTTGCAATAAAAACTGGTCCAGGGAATATCCATAAACTAAAAAGCGCACACAACTTTTGAAAAATCAAGCATTTAACAAACTGAGGACTGGACATGAAACGATCAGTGATAACACAGAAAAATGGTGAAGAAAGTATATTTTTAAATAATAGTAATAATCTGATGTTTTTAACTGCAGCAGGTGGGCTCTTATGGATCTTTGTTTTGCATCTCCTGCTCAAGAAGAGAGAAGAAAAGAGAACTCAAGAAAATATATAAAACAGTATAGAGCACACAACTAGAGAAATTCAATGATTTTCAATATTAGAAAACTAATAGAAGAGAATTATTGATACTGCCATTATTGTCAAACTTGACATTTTTTTAAATGATCCTTTAAACTTTGAAATTACTTACTACTTTGTTTCCAAACAAGACATTAATAGGAAGGAGTACATAATCTTTGCAGATGTGCTTAATTATTTGGCAGAAATGTGCATGTAGTTGAAAGTCTAGTACTAAGGCGTTGCAGTAGCTTAGGTATGTCTTGATGTGTCTCCTCTGTCTATTAAGTAAACAAATTACAAATCACTTACCCAGCCTACTGTTCTGTGAATGAGATTTCAAACTAATTCTGACAAAATATTTATATAGATATATAGATAGATATAACTATATATATATACATACGCATTAAAACATGATAGTTATGTAAAGCTGATTTATTAAACTGGGAACAAAAATAAATAGAACCAATTCTGGACAAATTATTTTCACTAATTGCTACTGTAAAAAATCTCTGTGATAATTCAGACGTGAAAAGACTTATTCCATGTCACAACAGACTCACTAATTCACTCTACTACATGAAAATCAAGTCAGATAAGGTCCAGAACATGTTATTAAAAAGGACCATAGAAAAGAAATTATTTCAAGTTCCTTCTAAATTGAGATGTATTCTGCAAACATGCTTTCTGTCACCTTTGAAAAAATATTAAAGACTTATTTTGACATGGAGGTAATCTGAGTACAAAATAATTCTACAATTAAAAAACTGAATTATATGATAAATGTATATTTGCAAGGTAAAATCTCTGACAATGTGTATTTAATAACTGCTGATTTCATGGCACTATATACTGTATTGATGACATCTGCTATAAATGATAACAATCTTCAAAAGTCCATAATCCGTCAGCAAAGTCACTACCGACTTTGTAAAAAAAGAATAAGCTCAATGCCAATCCAGACATTATGCTCTCACATGACATTTTATAAGTAAAAATTTTTACGTGTCATTTGTATTCAAAATTTTCCTATAAGGTCTGTCCCAGTTCAATAAATAATTTCTTTTTTATATACATTTCAAAAAGTTTCTAAAGATTGATAATTTTACGCTAGTATGAATCCACAATTGTACAAGCACCTCATTCATCAGACTATTAAATACTAAAATAACAATTTCTGTGCACAATTACCTAAATTTGTGCACCACACTTTATACTTACAGAGGTATTACATGGCAGTACTGAGAGTACACTCACATCTCAAAAAACATGAGGAAAACTTTGCTAAGTTATCGTTATCATATCACTATTCTATTTTATTGTTTCTGTGCGACATGGCAACATGGGGATTGCTATTGCAGACCAGTTTCCAGGTGGTCCAGTCTTACTCAGCACCACCTTCTATTTCAGAGTCAGGAAGCCCTAGTTACCTGTCTACTCAACTATTCTTACAGTGGTTGGCACTTTTATTAGAGAAGTGATAGTAGCAATAATGCAAAACTTAACTTCACAAAGACATTTTGCTGATGTCTGAAAAGATTCCTTTTCATATCTGCTCTAATTCATTTGCAGGGAGTTCAAATTCCATAGTGATGGTTTTGGTGCAGGAACAAAAATAACTGAGGTGTTTTCAGCCCTTTTCTATTTTTATAATAAACAGATAATATACAAACTAACTGCTTTCCTGAAAAATACGTTCGTAATGGAATAAAGTGCTGTTAAACACCTCACAGAAACTACATCTTGAATCTCCAAAATGATTAGTTTCATGCACCTTTTATGATGGCAATTTACTATCATTATTCTTACCTCACCTTTCAAAAGTTATCAAACCATGCACAACAACTGTCATGCTTTAATAGCCAGTAAAATAATAATAAAAAAAAGATCGTTATTCTACTATGGCCTTGATTCAATAAAAATAATTTTGTAGCTAATAGAGGACTTTGCAGACAACTAAACCTGTGAAGTGTGTAATCAATACAAAAACCCCAAAGGACTAAAATTAACACAGCTTCTCATGACCTGAAATGATTGGCTTTCTCTTCACTGTCTCGTTTCTTGTGTACAATTCCTATGGTGTTATATGCCAAATCTATCACATCTTTCATCATAAAGGCTGGCATATCTCATTGTGATATGCGAGCCTTTACAAAGAATTGCTAAAGTTCCCACACAATAAACGCTCTGCTATTTCCACAGTAGAACAACTTGAAAACCTGCTCTTGCCTTTTGAGATGCACGACTTATATCTAAGATACGCTCCCTTGGTATGATTTATTTTGGACACTAGCCACTAGACTCACTAGAAATTGACCTGTTCCCTGGCTTACTTTAGGATGTTTAGAAGAAAGTTAAATTGCTTAGTATAATTAGGTAGGTCTTCTGATTTGATTTCCTTAAACCCAGTTGCCCTATTTAACTTCTCACTATAGTTCCTTGAAACAGCAAGTAGTTATTTACCTACCTACTTACCACTTTGCTGAATCAAGACTAGAACCACTTGTGCACAAGGGAAATAGAATATTTAATGAGCTGCAAAGGAATTAACTTAAGTGCTTTACAGTTGTCCCTAATAAAGAAGGTGAAAATCCATAAGGAATTAAGCATTTATAAACTGGACCTTCAAATTCATTTTAGCGATATCCTTTGTGACTTTTCTAAAACTAGGCCATGAAAAAACAGCGGTGTTTTGCAACTATTCACATGAAATTAGAGCCATCACATGACTTTTATTTCCATTCAGGGCTCTTCTGCAGGAAAACAATGGGTTAATAACTGTGTTATGATACGTAGTCAGTTTTAGAGGGAAAGTGCTGCCTGTGTAGTTTGTGACTAGTATGTTACCCTTTTTTCCCATTACAGTTGTTGTGAACCATATGCACTGTCAACTGTAAAATGGGAATATGCAGCAAAAACACGGTACCCCTCCAAGAAGGTGTGGAATGACTTGAACCTTATGCATTTCACAGTCTCTGCATGGTGTATATAACTTCACTTAGCAAATGTATGATCGACGTTAACACAGTATCGATCAAATACATCATGACCCTATGTAACAGACAACTGTTTTTATTTCAAGGACTTTTGTGATTTTAGCGAGAGAAAAACCACAGTAATTAATTTCTTTCCGAGAGTGAAAATATATGCACCATGAACCTCCTCTGGCTGAGATGGCCGAGACCAAAAATGCACAAAGTTGAAATGGGCGAGTAACCAACCTTGGTGAAATATCGCATCCTTGCTGCATAAAGGCACCCAGGGAAAACCAGAGACTATTAAATATCCCAAATTCATTAGTTGATTCATTAGTTTGCGTTTCTCTTCCATCTTCAAATTCCTCAGTGTGCCACTCGTATGGGCTAAATCTGCTGACCAGGAATAAAACTACACTGACCCCAATGTAGGCAAAAACAATGCACATCCAGATTTCATATGCTAACGGATCAAGAAATGAAAACACTCCTGGCTTGGACTTCTGAGGCTTCTTGATCATTATTGATATCCCCAGGCTCATAAAGGGCTTTGAGAAGTCAATCACCTCTTCTCTCACCAATGTTATAGTTAATGGAGCGATTGCAATATCGGCTTTCTGTAAAGGAAGAAAAAAGCAAATAATAGCTAATACAATGATCAGAGCAAAGAATGGTTTAGTTTCTATTGCATTTCACAAATGGAAAATAGGACAGCAGAGACACCGGCAACATTCGTTTCACCAAGAATGTCCTACGGAGAATTTCAGAAATTTTTAGTTGCAACTCTTCTTACTGAAATACATATAACCATACGGTTGGCATATTTCAAGCTTCCCTTTTTACACATGACCTTTTAAAAGTGTATGACATTTAAAAGTGTTAGTAAAGTACTTTGCCTTTCACCTGATCAAAAGGATGAAACTCACTTCCCCGCAACTTCATTTGCACTTAAAAATCTAATTCCATGCTTTACTTTCAAAATTTTTGATGCCAACTCCAGTTACTAAGGAATTAGATAATTTTCCTCTACTCTACAGAGAAAACTAAACCAAATCCCACTCCTTCCATCAGTCATCTTTAATGACTTTATTATAAAAGATTTTCTTACCCCATAAACAAGTTCTCCAACCATCCCATTCCAGATTTTCGTGTCTGCATCCCTTGCCCCATACTTGCCATCCCCAACAATTGTGAGCTTATATTTGAATCCACAGTGTTTAGCAATTTCTGTAGCCAAGTCCACACAATAGCCCTCATATCGATCATTTCCTTCAAGCATTTCGTGATTTTTCTTCATCATGACGTATGGGGACTCCTGCACAGAAAGAACTTGCCTTAGCTACTTGGAAAAGAGACAGATGTATCAGTTGTGCATTTCATAGATTAGTAAGTTTCCTTTTACATGTGAAACAAAGAGAGAAGATAACATCTGAATCATACACGCTATGTATGTTAGCTGTTAATTATTATCGTGACATGTTCTTAACACATTTAAAATCTGCATTCTCCACAGTCATATACAAATAACAATACTTACAGGTATAGTGATTCCCAGCAGTATGTTAATAATGACCATGAATGTTAACAGGAGTTATGCATTCAGAGAAGAAAGAGTAAGTTCCAAAATCAGTTTTTTTCTCTCACACAGTTTGGATGGAAGAAGGCAAAGGTATTTTGTTGCTTTTGTTGTTGTCTTAATACAAGAAAATTCTTTCCTATTTCACAACCACATTCCTCCCTGGGAAAACACTTCAGGCTCTCCAGGCTATATCTTTATTGAGTTACTACACAAACAACAGGTAAGATATCTATAACTATGTAGTAAAGTTCTATCATCAGCAAAATTGGTGATGAGTCATAAGTTGTATTAAAGTAACGTATCTCCTCTTTGCTCAATTGTTACCGAATTATTCTTGCATCCAGTGAAATTCCTATGCTAGCCTGTGACTTGCCCAAACTGATAAAGAAGCTGTGTAACTTACAGAAAAATGCTGTTCTACGACGGTACACGATGTTATTTTCTAGACAATTAGAATACAACTTTTAATGTTTTTTTTTACACTTCACCAGTCCATAGCAGCTACAATTCTGAAGCATAAGAACCAGTCTCTTTCCTGCTTGGCAAAATACATTCTCTAAAAAACTAACACTATGGTTCTGCCTCTCAGACAAAGTTCTCTCCTTTGAAAGCAGGTATTTCATCTCCATTTTCATGTCTAAAAATTTTAACTTTCCAGGATGTTCAATCAATGACCGTTTGTCTTCTACAGAACAAAACCACATACTGAATCACATACATTTCCTTAATTTCCAGATTTTATTTACGTATCATAATGAATAACAGGTCACAACCTCAAATAATAAAAAGACAATATATTTAAACTAGCATAATGACAAGAAACAAATCACTGTAGGACAGACTGTCTTCTGGCAAAATATGAGGTTAATTACCAAAATAGTGGTGACAATAATAGTCTTATTCTCTAGTCCTGAAGATTCATTTCCAAGAGGGCCATCAAGAGGATTCACAACCATTTTGTCCACTTCACTCCAATATCCAATCTAAAGAGAGTTTATAGGATGCACAGAGACCAGTGAATATGAACTTTCATAGAAAAGGTAAAGCATGTTATTACTATGCCCTTGATTTATGTTCACAGAGAACTATTTTAGCTATGAATTTAGCAGTGTAAATATTTCTATTTATGCAGTTAAAGACTATTACAAATAGTAACAAGATTGAACTAATGACATTTGTTCACATTGATTTGTCTAATACAGGTATACCATTTTCATTCACATATTAACAGGTTTTAGCATCAACATCACACGCTGTAGGATTGAAAGGGTTATGAAATACTCCAGATTAGGAAGACATGAGAAACTGGCTTTTCCTGAAAAGTTTGGAATTAGAGCAGAAAGATAATCACATTCAAAGAAACATCACTGAAAAGCTGTATTCGGCATTCATCATTCAGAAGCATATTTCCCCAATTACTGGCTCACATTTACCAATTCAGATCAGAAAGCAAAAAGTTTAATCCACAAAACTGAAAGGAAAATACTCTTATGTAGCACTTACCAGAAATAATAACTTGTATTTGTTAGAAAGAAATAATACACATTTTCTGCAAGACCATTGTAGAATACACCTATGAATAAATATTATCACAACTCATGCTTTAATTAATCTATAATGTTTCATTACCTACCTTAACCCGTTGCTTAGCATGGTAAAACCTTTAAAGACACCGTAAGACAATTCAAATTACCTTCCGAGGACCAGTACTTTTGAGTTCCATGATGTTTATTGTAAAATTGATTCTCTTTCCATTCTGATCAAACTTTATATTCCCTGTTAGACCTTCCACCTGAACCTATATGAAGATAAAAATAGTAGAAGAATTAATTTTGTTTCTTTCTAGAAAATGCATTTTGTATTTCCACAAATGATTATTGATATTTCAAAAACATTCAGTTTAGACTCTCTTCCACACCCAATATATTATCTTAGTGTAAGCCATGTTCCTGAGGAGTTTACTTCCACATTACTCCCAGCAAGATCCAGGCAGGTTAGGAGACTGGAAGGTTCTTTTCAAGCATTTATAAAGAATTTCACACATGCACTCATCCCAGCATTCACCCCAGAGAAGCTACCTGTTTCAATGCCCTTTCTATTTCTACACCATGACCCCAGGGTACAGCTGGATTTGCAAGACAATCTCCAGCATTTCCTCTTCTGGAGATCTCAATCCTCTGTTTACGCAAATTACGGAAAGCTTCTGTCATCACTTGAACAGCATCATAGGTCAGTGCAGACGTATACTGAAAAGAAGTGAAAATATTTAATTAAAAACCAGCTTCAGATTCACTATGCCTTCCAATCCTCATTAATCCATTAAACACAGAAACATATTAAAAATAAAAAGGACAGTAAGATATACTTGAAATCAGACCAGTTTTTCTTTAGTTTGGAGGTCACTACCCTCTGAGGGGCATCTATGCAAATTAATGAAGTGTTCTCCATCAGAATGGTTGGGGGCAGTGCTAATAAATCTAAACTGAAGATTTACAGCTGTTTTCAGTGTGAGTTACATTCCTTTCTCACTACAACTGTGTAACAGTTCTGTGTGCAGATATGGCTGGAAGTCCATGGAGGTGAAAGGGGAAAAAAGAAATAATTTCCACTATTTAACTTGAGTTAGTCTCTAAAAATAAGAAATTGTTCCTCTGATTGCACTCTTCATGGAGATGCATTTATATACAGATCTCTAGACTACATCTCCTCCCACATACATATACACAAAACCAAAAAACATATATTTGTATATATGCATGCGTAATTTTTATCTGTTAAATATAAAAACTTAGGGGTAGCTATTTTCAAATATGCAATACCTTGTCAACACCGTGCAAAAACAGGTTTGGGGCCGAGATGTCTGGAAGAAGAAGTGGTGCCCCTCAAAGAACAATATAGGCGCGGAAGAGCCCCATGTTCCTAGTCTGACACAATATAAGGAGCTTTACAACTTCTGAGACATCAGAGAAGAATCCTGCGATCACATGCATCAGAAGCTGGGGCTAAACAGTCAAAAGCAGTTATCTTCAGTGACTGGAAAATTTTACATCTTAACTAACTAACTGAACAGAAACCACATGTGCACGTACACCAAGGACTCTGTTGGATGGGCTTTATGAGTCCAGAACATTGCAATTATGCCAAATTTAAGGGACATTTTTGGAAAGATGGGCCAGAATATAACTACTTACAGCCTTATGAATGAATGCAATGATCCCTATGAAGGCTATTAGATGCTGAAAATATATAAACTGTAAAGCGGTGAGAAATGATACATTGGCTCTTTGCTTCGATGGCTCAGACTTTAATGAGAATTTTAATTAGCTAGCTCAAGTCATGCAGAAGGCTCTTGTAATTGTAATCAAGGCAGGCTCCTGAATTGAGGTCATTTTTGTATGCAACTGTTAGACCTTGGAGAGAAGAAAAGGAAGGTGGAACTCTTTTTTCAGATGTATAAGCTTACTGGGTGATTAATGTGAATCTTCTCAAGAAAGTTCTCTCAGTGACTTGTATGGAACTTTTTAAAGGGAACAGCAGAAGAATGAAGTGAAAGACTGGCTGGAGCTGGTAATACTTTCTACTGCTGGAGTAGCAGTGATTTAAGTGGTGGGCATGGATTTGGATTTGGAGATGAGGAGAAGGTAATGGAGAGAAGAGAAAGGACCCTGACTCGTTTTTTTGGGACTAGCTAGCAATACTGCTTTAAGTGCAGCTCTTTGGAGTACAGAAAAATGTTGTACCACACTAGTGTTTTGAGAAACTTTGGATACAGCACTGTCATTAACCACTGAAACATACTTTGGGTAGCAGCAAAAATGAGAGCTTGAAATTAATAAGTTATAGTGCTATCTAATTCAGTCATCCTATGTTTCATTTCATCATTGGGATATGTTTAATGTATTATTTCAAGAATATTATCCCTATAGTATATAATTACTGGCCGGAATATCCACAACTCAGTCATATATTCAGTTTGTGTAGGGCTTTGCCTATCAATATATATCTGTATGTGTTTACATGTCATCACATATGTAAAGTCCACATGCTTTAATTTAGGTTAATTCAGCTTTAATCTAAGGATCTCAAAATATTTTACAAGCATCTTACATCTTCATGTTGTTGGAAATGCCATGAAAGTAAACAGCCCATGCATCATTTCTTACTGCTTTACTCCGCATACACTTTCAGCTCCTAATAACCTTCATGGGGCTCATTACATCTATTCATTAAGCTGTAGATAGTTTTAAAGTTGACAAACTAAACCAAAGTGAACTCACTACCACGAACAAAAAATGACAGACTGATAACCTGCTCATGCAGAGGGGTGTCTGTGTGTCTGCATATATAAACAAAATTGTCATAAGTTAAAGGATGCATTAGCTCTGTCTTGATTCACTTTGTTTTATACCGGTGATTCAACCACGTTCTGATCTGCACTATTAAAATAAGTGGGAACACTATTTGGAATATTATTTTGTGGAAGTGGGATGGGCTCTTACAGCCTACTACTTTTACAGCAGTGTAAATCTCCTAACTTCATTTCAGTTACTTTCAACTTTACATGATAAAATCAGCAACTTTAATATAAAATAGTATAGGTACTATCCTATAGTTCCTACAGAATCACCCGTATTAATTAAAGCATGGCAAAGAACATGCAAAAAAAAGTCTCGCTTCATCGTAATTCTAGGACTATGATAGTAATAAGCTGATAATTTAAACTACAATACAGTGACTGAAGTGCCCAAGGATTTTATGTTATTTGCTATGAAACACAGATAGCATGCATGTCAGATGAAAAGAATTCTGTCTCTCTAAATAAATGCCCTAATTGCCAAGAAAAGAAAACACAAGGTCCATATGTGATTTTATTCAACTTAAATTTAAAATGTACTATAGACCTTAATAAAATTTGTAAGCTGCAATTGAGAAGGTGAATTTGAGAAGTAAAGACAAAACAAAGTCATCCCAGACTAAGCAGAAGATATTAATCATGTGCTGTCCAAGAAAAACAGGCAAGATGTTGGCTTTTGTAACTTCAGCTGTTGTCCAGTAATTCAGAAGATATCAGAAATCCTTAACTAAAAGGCCCAGTAATGTCTTTCGTACAATCAGTAACAATCTTCTGAAGATGAAATTGCAGAAGACACCCCCAGAAACCACCAGATTTTTTTATATACATATTTTAAAGCTGGAAGATATTATAAAAAGATTTAATCACATAATGTTAGCCTGTTAGTCCTGTGTTTAACCTAATGCCTGTCAATGTGCTAAAGACACAAAGTTGAGAGATATGCTTAGAGATTTAAAATACAACATTAAAAGAATATACCTGAGCAGTAGAAAATAAATGAAAATGTGAAGACATAAATTAAAAAAAAAAAAGGGGGGAAGTATTCTGAATCACAAGAAGTAGAATTCTTTTTCTCTTGATTTGGATATCTGCAATGTCTAAATCTGTCCTTGACATACTAGTTGTTTTTTTACAGTCAGAGAAGAAAAATAAGCATTTTAAGGTGTGAGTCATTTGACCCATGTTAGACACCTTCTTTAAGATGAAATGAATCGTGCCTTAGAATCGTGCCTTCCATTAATTTGATCTCCAGTGACTTCTGAGACTACTAGAGGAGTCCAGGGTGATCAGCTTAGATACGTATGTCTACACTGAAGACACACTAAAAACAAATTAAAACCACTCAAGGGGACTATGAACTAGCCATTCAGCCCTAATCTAACATAACAGTGAGAAAGACAAACAAAATAATAACATATTTTGGGCAGAGACTGTACCAGCAGAGCCAAAGAACACAGCGCTAGTGTACAAGACACTAGGGAGACCTCAGCCAGAATGGCATATGCAGCTGAAGCAGCATTCAAGAAAGCTGAAATCAGTCTGAAACAGGTCCAAAGAGGATTCCTCACCACATATGGGGGCCTGCTATTGGAACAGCAGGAGAAGGGACACTCTGTATCACTAACAGATGTTAAAAGAAAGGAGGTCTAAAATCAGATACAAATATTTTTCCTTGGAGGGAGGTAAGATTCAAAGAGAAGTAATATAGGAAATGTTATTTGTTGCAAGAGCAGGTAGGTAGAATCAATTGGTGTAAGCAAACGTTCAGCAATTTTCCTTATATTTAAACAATTTAAATATACTTAAATACCAAGAAATATACATCAGAGGCAATAAATACATAACAAAGACACAAAATGTGTGTTTTATATATATAACAAAGACACAAACTGTGTGTCTTTGTAGACTGTGGGTATATTAAACGTTTGGTTTACTGCCCTATACTAGCAATTTTTTTTTCCAACGGTTCACTATGCATTTTATCACCTTGTTTGTAATACTTCGCTAAACTATACACAGACTAAACTGAGATATCAAATGGTGTCTTGTTTTAACAAATGTTATAGCTTTATTTTGCTTTGAGGATTATATTCAATAAAATCACTCATCTGAGTTTTGTACATTTTTCCCCACAACGAAGTATTTCTCTACTTGCGTGCTAGTATGTACCACAAAAGCAGAATTGCCTTTTCATGGTGCTTTGTACTGTACATATATAAACCCTCAAGCAAAAAGAATGAGAGACAAAGTTACTTGTTAAGAACTAGTAAAGGAACTGCGCAACTACCTCCTGTTGACTTTCAATGCAGTCAAACTAATGTAACTCAAGCACCTCTTTCTTACCGGTCTTTCTTTAATTAATGTATCTATGGGCTATTTTGAAATGGACAGTATTACACACACCTTGGAAAACTTTTGAAAGTGGCCTGATAGATGAAATAGTTAGTGGAAAATTCACTAACTGATGGGAAATGGCTACCTCCTTCAGGATCTCTTGCGATACTTTGCACACTGTCATGACAGAGCATGGGAATGTACTTTCAATAGAAGTAAGAGACATTGTCAAATATTGTACACATAAATGTCATTGTAAATCCAGATGGCTTTTAATTTTGCCCATAATCATGCATTCTTCTCATTTGTTCTGTGAGAGCATTAGCATGAACGGTGTCAGTATGAAGCAGCATGTCTGGCCAGTTGCCATTCAAACTGTAAATGGGCTTTAAGCACAGGAGCATCTTCATTACCTATGGGAATGTTTCAAGCACTGGGGATATGAGGCAGAGGTCAGGGAGCCCAGAAAAGATGGAAAGCTTGCCTCTTCCTCTTTGATCTTTACATTAGAATGGAGCTCTTGTGAAAACAGGCAGCCTTTACAAAGAGACTTGCTTC